TGCGACTGGAGATGACTTCATATTTTGGTGTACATGAAGGTGATGGGCGAGAGCCAGCTCATCTTGGGTATCTTCCGCCCTGGTACTCGTATCCACGTCCTCTGTCTGGGCAGCGAAAACTTTGCTGATATGTGACTCGGTCGAAGTGACTTTTTTTGGCCCCCCTGTGTATATGTATAATAGAATAGAAAAAGAAAAGAAATTGAATAGAAGAAGTAATAGAATAGAAATAAAAGAGAAGAAGAAGGAAAATACTAGCAAAAACTTTGATAATAATCCCTTTAATCTTTCTAGGCTTACACTGCGAGTAGTAAGCCGGCTCGTCACGTGAGGGAGCAACTTGCTGCCGAGACTGGTTTGGATATGAGGGTGGTGCAGGTAAAGTTAATTTTGAACTGCTGTTTCGATTAAAACGAAAACGGCAAGTGCCGATAATTGAAAGGTGGAGGAGTGGTGGAGGGTCCTCCAGTAGTCCTCAAATGAGATTTATCGAGCTGCTTGGCGACACTTCAAGCTACTCGTTCTGAGAAAGGCTGGAACACTGTTCGAATTTTTTTTCAAGTGAGTACTGTGGAGTGCTTCTGAAGTTTCTCAAATGCTGATGAACAACCATTTCATCAAGCTTTCGGAACTAGAAATCCTCTAGCGAGGTAGGTCGTTCGAGACGTGGAGCGCTTTTTCGAAAACGCTTCTTTACATGGTGTGAAATCACGTACGCGGACTATTGAACTGACCTTCACTTTTTCACATCTGGGAACACCAAAAAAGAAGCGGAAAAGAAATCTACTGAAACTGCTTCATTTTGAGCCTCTGTGTACTATGAGCCATTTGCAACTTTCAGCAGTTGCTGAGTGGAGGGTGCACATAAAAGGCAGTTAAAATCGAGATGAATAATAGCGTCAAATGAGGTCCTACTTGTGCCACCTGCCCAAGAGTGGGTGCTTCCTCAGAATAGTCTTTCCAACGATTGGATTTAGTTTTAACTGTGGTGTGGCGACGTCAGGATCAAGTGTCAACTGTGGTGTGGCGACGTCAGGATCAAGTGTCAGAATCGTGATCAGGACCATCGATTACCCCTTCAGACGACCAAAAAATTTTTTCTTTGACTTCTTTCGGCTTCTGTTTTGCCCAGGAGCATTCCCATCAAAGTCACACTTTGCCTAGTCATTCAAACATTTTATTGTCAGACAAACACAGAACTAACGACAACGATAAACTTAATGGAAAGAGAAAAAGGTGATCATTCTGCTAGATGCGTTCGAAAAGGCGAAGAATGTGGATTATCCCTGTTATGAGCTCCTGTATTGCCACAGCACCGTAGTCGATGGAGCTAACAGCTGTATTGTCTTCAAGAAGGATATCACTTGATGACTTGAGCGTTCTGTTCGTATCAGCGCTTTCAAACTGAAGTTGTTTTATTTAAAGGTTGCAACGTATAGGTCGGCACACAGCACAGAATCACGGTCGTTTACTCAACGCCTTAGAGGCGCAACGGAGCACACCCACCAGTATTCCGGCAACATCTCTAGGCTGCACCTTGAAACCAACCGCCATGCTTCTCCGCAGTCTCTATTGGGAGAATTTTTTAAGAAGAATGCCACATGTGCGGCACCAGTCCGACAAAGTGCACCGAGTTATCGTGTTTAGTTTTCTCTTCTTCGTGCACAATGGAAGGACTTTTTGTGAGACACTGTGGTTGGCAACGAAAGCTGGGCTCATTGCGTATACCATGCTCATCCTTCATAGGATCTCTCATGGGAAATGTCGCCTGCTCAGCCAAAGGCAGAAGTGCACGGAGAAAAGATTTTGCCGCCCTGCTAGTGGGACTCCACGGCGATGTCGCTGGATGCTGGCGTAGATGTGACAGCCACAGTGTAATGTAATCAGCTTTAGAACATGAGTGAAGTCACGTTTGAGTTCTTTCAGGAACACGCTTTTACTCCATAGCAATATGAAGTTTGCACATGGCGATGTAGCTATGCCGACAGATTATGGATCTCGATCAGGAAACGTACCAAGCTTGTTCACCGAACTGAGCAGCCTCTAACTATCACCACTTTGCTCCCTAATGCATCCTTTAGAAAGCGAGAACCTCGGAAATCAAGGTCCCTTCGAGAATGAGATCCACGTCTTCTTTTCACCGTAGTTGCCGTAGCTCCACAAGAGTGGAATCGAGAAGCTGTGGGAAGGTGGGCACTTGTCCTGTTTATTAACGGTGATTATCTTGCAGATCTAAGGTGTTGCTCAGTGAAGGAAAATTTGGTCAGAATAATGGTCATAGTGTCACAGGACTTCCTTTCTAAACTAATAGGAATGCTCGAAGTATCCGCACTTAACCGTGGCATGAGACATCAAACGCGAGAGGACGAACCGAGGGCATGCCGCACATGGTCCTATTCCAATTCGGTCCAGATATCGACATATCTCAGTGAGTGCTGGGAATGATGGTTTTCTAACCTTCTAGTTTCTCTTCTGTGGAATCTCACATAGGAAATAAAACGCATTTGGGCTTGGTTAGTTGAAAGACAATAAGTCTGTTCTGAAGCCCAAGAAATTGCAACCGTGGTGCGCCATAGGCTGAATTCCCCAATACCAATGAGGTTACAAGGTTATCTGAATCTTGTTTTATGTTAGCACTCAGTCTTCAATTGTATTCGAAATTAAGAGACCTGTAGTGGGTAATTTGTTACAATAAATCTTTCGAAAACAGTTTTATCAGTGCATTATCAAACTTGCTGTTTCTAACTGTAGCGAACTTTCTCTTATTAGGATTTTTGGTCGACTGCTTAACATTTGTTCGAGCGCTGTTGCTGTGTTTTATAGTGGAAATAGTGACAAAATGGATTTTTTATTTGCCCTCCCCCCAGAAAATTAATGTTTGATAATTACAGCGCGTAGATGTGCTTCTGAAGCATAACTAGTATTCATTCGAACTGGAATTGGTGTTGCAACGAAGGAGTGGGTTTTTGTGTTTACCTAAACTATCCACAGAACTACACTACGGGGACCTTTTTCGTATTCAGTGGGCATTGAGAGAATGCGGGTATTTTGAAAAGGGAAGGTCTTCTGGCTTCCGGCGCTGTTTTTGGTTGCACAAGAGGTCACGCATGAAAAGCATCATGAATACTTGTAAGTGACACCAAATTTCAACGAGGTTAGCACAACGAGGATATTTCTCAAAAAAATGTTCGACACTGCTAAGGCTTAGTTAACCAGCATTGACATCTGCACAGTTAATCAAATTGAACTTAGTGCTTCGCAACCCCGCTTTATCCGTTTCTGAAGTTCTACTCTCAAGAAAGATATGGTTCAAAGAATGGGTACTCCTGGAGTTCCTGGAGCAATTCTGAAGATATAGCGAAATCGCGTGCTCTAATGAAACGTTTTGAACTTTAGTGCGCAATTGAAATCGTACGTAGGAGGGGGACGTGATCTCACTCTCCTTTTCCAGGGAGGAGGGGTCGGTTCTAGCAGAAATTTTACACACCGCGATGACGTGCCAAGATGGCGCACTCTAAGTTTTTGGCACCCTGACACACTGACATCTTGTTCCTGACAGTGAATTGACGACTGTCACAAATAGATGTGACAGTCGTCAATTCACCATCAGGAACAGGATGTCAGTGTACCGTCATGGACAAAGTTTTGGTCAGGCTGACATTTCTGGCTAGGAGTTACGTGGTTCACTTCATGAGTTTTATGAATTTTCTGTGTTATAGGTACTATGTACGCCCGTACGATGTACCCCTTTCTTCCAGAGCGACCCCTCTTCCCTATTTTACTTACCATTTCCTCGTCAACAACCGAGAAAAATTCCTCATCGCTGTGGAAATTTTCTCTCACCAGATACGACCTCAACTGAACAAGCATTGCCGCACTCCCAGCGACCGAATACGGCCACTCCCACCCAGCATGAAATTACCCCAACGATGTTATGCCCTATTCCAACTTCGGTGACGGTGTAGCTAAAAGTCACTTATTCTCGTTCTGGAATAGAAACCAACAGCAAGGTTAAGTTACGTTGTAGTCATGTACGAAGATACTGCTCATTTGACAAGGATTTGACTAAACGGCGCGAGCGCTGAAAACGAATGCCATATTCGTTATCAGAGCACCGAGCGATGCCAGTGTGTAAGTTTACACTGATTTTGAAAAAAGGAAAAAAGAAGGAGGTGAAAAAGGTTGTGTGGCGAGATTGGCACCGAATTACTTCAAAAGCGGAGTTTCAGCGAGTTTCCTCTTGAGTTTCTAGGGTAGTGCCCTAGAGATTAGTGCCGATTTTTTGAGTTTTTAGATAGTGGATGTCCACTATGTTATGCCAAAGGACCAAGCTTATTCCTTGACTAGGAGTAATGGCGCTTCCGGCTTTCGAGCGAAACACGAATGTTCACGCATTAGCAGTCATAGTCACTCATATTCCAGAGGAATTCTCAAGCAAAATATGGAGCGAATTTAGACAAACAATATTATGATTCATACTAATGCAAGTCTTCTTCGAAATGTAAATGTGCACATGGGTTGCCAGATACTAGAACACTGCTAAGTTGTGGGCGTACGAATCAAGGGGACGCCCATATTCCAGAGGCCTAATAATTTGCACAAAAAGAGAATAGTCTCTAAAAACAAAACACTAAAGATTACCGGCATTTTCATTGCTAGTATAACGGATACGGACAGTACACGGATAGTATAAGGCAGCGTTCAGACTTCGCGACGGCAGCGCCTCGGTCGCGCGTTCGGCGCGATCGATGCGCATGCTTTCAACTGCATCGATCGCGTCGAACGCGCGACCGAAGCGCTGCCGTCGCGAAGTCTGAACGCTGCCTAACGTACCTGTAAATGAGACCTGCATAAATAAATGCTAGGTGAACCATAATCATTTTCGTCCTGTTTAGGTGTGGTTCCAAAATAGGCGAGCGAAGGAAAAACGGCTGAAAAAAGATGCAGGGCGACGATGGAGCCATTGTGGCAATATCAAGACTGACAGCGACAGCAACTCACCATCGGATAGCGTCAGTGGGCGAAGTCCAGCGTATGGTTCGTTTTTTTTTGAATTTCGAGCAAAGCTGTAGTAACAAGAATCTCAAGGCAAAGTCGCTAAACGCGATTGATGAAGCGCCGAAGGGGACAAGCAGTGTCGCTGAGAAAAGTAGCATGTCGCTGAGAAAAGTAGCAGCATCAGTGTCTCTCACTCCTATCGACAACCTGGAAAGCAAACCGAATAACAGGAAGGAATATGTAAGGGGAAGAGAACTACAATTCGATGGGTTAGTCACGTGTCATAACATCAGCTAAGAAGTGCAGCGTCAGAAAACCTCGAAAAAAGGAATACGAGATGGGAACATGTTTTCATCAACGCAACATTTTCTAGGAAGCGTATTCTTTGCTTGTGGGGTACTATTCGGCTTACTCTAATTTGTAGAAGACTTTAACCATCTCTCTTAACTTGCTCTGCATTCACTCTCCGTTTTCTTCTATTCACTGTGAACTGGAAGCAAGAGCTCTGCGAAGAGAACGCGTATTGCGTATCGATAGAACATGAGTAAAATCAGTTCGAACACGTCTGAGCTGGACATCATCGCTGTGTGTTTGTTGAGGCTACGAGAGCAAGTTTATGATATGGCAGTGGCGGTTTTTTCCAATATGTTCTCTATTGTATGTAGAATTCTTGAACGGTGGCGACCTTGTCTTTCCACGAGGGTCACGGCTGCCATGTCTCGCCTCGCCGCGCGCGGCGATTGCAACTGATTTTACGAGAGCAACATGGTCGTGCGATTAAGATCCCGGTCCCTTCACATAGTTCTGGCATCACGCGAATCTGCTTGGGATTTTTCCAAACCAGAATATTCAATGGGACGACAGTATTTTTGAATGGCAGCTGTACTTATTCGACGGGTTGCTGTATTTCTTCAATAGGACCTACTTTTACCGTCTGGCCGAGAATCTTAAACCTTACAATATCTTACAATTGAGGCCAAAAGAAGGATTCACCCTGAAAAGAATTTTCGTAGATTGCTGATGTATTCTCTAAATATTATTTCTATGTTAATGGGCGTTGTTTTATACTAGTAGTTGAATATCGGGCCCATTCCTTTCATAGCCTTCACACCTGCAAGTATAAAGCAGACGGTTGGAAATCTCATGAACTATGCAAATGCAAAAAATACATAGCGAAAGCATCGCGGAGAGCACCTCCGCGGCGGCGGCAGGCTGACCTCTCGTGGAGTCCTAACCGTACCCCAACAACTTTACGTCCCAAACGCCTTCCTTGCCCGCCCGCCCACAAA